TGAATGATTTTAAAGGACACGAATTGAATTATTTTGGGTTTTAAGGCACGAAAAGAGGAATATAAGTTATGGTTTGGGGAAATGGGCTAGGAATTGGGTTGGTTTATGAAATGGAAATATGGATTTAAGCACTCCAAAAATTAAATACTCAACCCGACCAATAATGGCGGTGAAAGGTTGTTCATCATCAGGTTTAGTTTTGGGGAGACATTTTTAGGTGTCTACAGTCCTTAAGCAGTTAACCCATATTACTGAGAACATCACGAAAGTGGTGAAAAGGGAACACCGAAATCCCGAGCTTGATGCCTATAGTGAAGTCTTTAAGAGAGTAGCTGCAGCTAAACCACTTGTTTACTTGGGAAGGGAGAACCCAGCCAACCTTGAAAACTGGATTAGGGAGTTTGACAAGTTGTTTGATGCTATCAATTGCCCAAGTGAGCTGAGGGTGAACAATGGGGTTTACTACCTGAGGGAGGAAGCTAATTTATGGTGGGCCCAAAGAAAAGGTGAGCTGTTGAAAAAGCCAAACTTTGGGTTGGATGAGTTAAGGAAGCCTTGAGAGAAAAGTTTTACCCTTCCTACCTTAGAAAACAGAAGTGCATGGAGTTTACCAACCTGAGAATGAGAAACATGTCAATAAGTGAATACTACAACAAGTTCATTGAGTTGATGAGAACTACAAGAAAAAGGGAAATTAACAACTGTTTTTTGCGACTACCATAATAATCAATCGCAAAAATTATTTTTGCGACTGAAAAAGACGAGTAGTCGCAAAGTTTGCAACTAATTTTGTAATAGTTTCTACGTGGTCGCTAATTAGCAACTGATTTTTACGACTACCATAATAATAAGTCGCAAAAATTATTTTTGCGACTGAAAAAGATGAATAGTCGCAAATTTTGCAGCCGATTTTGCAGTAGTTGTTATGCGGTCTCTAATCTGCGACGACACTCTTATAAGTTTTGCGACTAAATTATAGTTGTTGGGTTAACAATTTAAATTATTTATAAAAAAAAAAAAATTGCGATTGCTATTGCAACTATTCGATAGTTGCTACTATTGTTGTTAAAATTTATTAAAAGAGAAATAAAAAAAAATTATTAAAGGAGAAATTAAAAAGGATTTTTTTGACTTTTACCACAAAAAAAAATCACAAAATTAATTTTTTACTACCAAAACTTTGATTTTATCACAAAAAAAAATTAAAAATTGTTTTTTACCACATGTCACCAAAAATCTAATCGAAATTTATATATTATTCGATTTTTGTGCCAAATACATGGTCTTTAGGGGTTTTGATACTTTGGATCCAATTTGAGGTCATAATTGACAAAAATGATAATAATTGTTTCCTTTTATGAGTCTAAAAATACATCGACTTGCGTAAAATACTCAAAACGACTCATTTTCGATCATTTTTTGTCAATTCTGACCTCAATTTGAATCTACAAGGCGAAAATGCTCCCTTAATCTTATGAAAAACATGTTTTGCGCACGAAAATCGAAGAATTTTTTTTAACCGTTTTCTTTACGTAGGTTGAAAAAAACAATTTAGTTTTTTTTATGGTAATGTAAAACTTTTAAAAATTTTGGTAGTAAAAAATAATTTTGTGTGTTTTTTTTTGGGTAATAGTGAAAAAAATTCATAAAAAAACCCTTAGTATTGCATGTTGTATTGTTGTTCCCTCAAACCAAGAACTAAATCACTCTTCTTTACGGGTAAATACAAGTTAATCTCTGAGATTCACAAAATTTGTTTATCACATGACAATTTTGTAAATAAATCAACAACTTTTTCCATAAAAGTGGATCCTACATTAATGATGACTAAATAAAGTTGTTCATTTATTTACCAAAATGCCATGTGATAAACAAATTTTGTTTATCCCAGAGATTAACTAGGGCTTCCTCCTTTTTTACTTGAGTCATTCATAATACGTAATTACATACTCTTTTTCCTCCTCCCCACACCCCCCCCCCCCAAAAAAAAAAAAAAAAAACAAAAACAAAACAGAAGGCCAAGTTCAGAACTTCAGAGTAATCAATCAACCCGTCGTCGTCGTCTTAATCTGTCGCCGCTGCGCCACCACATCTCCTCCCAGGTTAGTCACGTATTCTTCCCCTTCCTACTGTCCATTCCATCTTTCTCTTACTACAATTGGCCAATTGTGAATTTTAGTTTATCATTGAGTTTTTTGCCCAATTTTTTAAAATCTGGTTTCCATTGCGATTTGCGAATTGATTTTAATCTAATTAAATTGATTGAATTTCGAGTTGATTTATTTGCGAATTGATTGAATTGATTTTAACTCTGGTTTCCATTGAGAATTGATTTTAATCTAGCTGCCAATTGCAAATTTTAGGATTATCATAGTCAATTAATGAAAAACCTATCAAAAGTGATTGATTATGCAAAAAGCCCTAATTATTTTCAATGTAAAGATCCCAAGTTATATTATTCCAACTTTTTTTTTTCCTCTAAATGTGGTTGATTGGTTAGAGTATGTGAGATATGATCTACAGCCACTTATTCAACAATGCTCAATCAAAATCATGAGCTCTTTGAGGTATTCATTTTATGTATCATTCTGCCTCAATATTCTTTAATTTATAAAGTTTTGATTTTTGTTTTTGAGGCTGTTTACATCTATAACTGATCAACCATTCTAAATAACATTAGTGAATGTTTCTTAGTTAGCCAATACCCAACTTTATTTAGTCTTACTCTCCTTCATAGTTCATACTTCATGCATCACTTGCTAGTGGATTATTTTATTAAATATTCATTGTACTTACAATGGAAACTAAGTCATGTCTATTGTCCTTATCTTTGCCAGCTCTCGTATGGTTGTGCTAGTTCAGTTGCTATTGAAATCTAATTCTGCAAGCTCCTTGATAGATGATTATGCTCCGTGCCTAGAGACACGTGAACAAGAAGGCCAGATTGCGGATAATAGCAGTTATATCTGGGTGTGCTTAAATTATACTCTAGGTGCTAGAGTATTTTTAGTGAGTTGCTTATACTATTGAATTTGTTATGTGGCTTTCTATTGATATCATCTCTTTTTTTTTACAGCTTCTTATTGACAATATCAGCAGGCCGCACCAAATGTGACTCATTTGCTACTTAAATTTGATCTAGATACCCTGATTGAGCTTACATCCTTACAGCCAAGATTTAATTATAGGTACGGTGACTTTAGGTTTATGTGAATTCATTGTATTGATTGTTTTGTTCTTATAAGTTTTCTCATCTCTGTATTGATTTGTGATACAGAGTTGCTTAATTATGGTTATTCTTGATATGTTGGATAAACTTTTGAAGCCGGGCGTAAATGCATTGCTTCATGAGTGTTTGGGTACTAAAATGGTCATACCCATTTTAGTCTTGGTTAATTCTACCCATATAAGCCCAAAAAAGGGCATAAAAAGGTCTAAAAGGTCCCAAATAAGTAAAATGCATCAATATGGCCTTCAACGACCCACATATGTACTTTTAAGGGTTCACTAACACCCACCATGTATGCCTATATATACCCCTCAAGGGGCCAAAGGTAAAGAAGGTCACTCTTATCATCTAAGATGACCATACTCCTTCACTCTCTCCCCTTAACTCCTCTCAATATATGCATTGTTTGGCTACTAACTTTGGCGTCGGAGGCTCCACCTCGGGGTCCACCCCCGGGGCTCGGGGTTCATTTTGCAGGTCGATTCAAGGCCCAAATTCGAGGTTCTCAGGCACCCCTTCGAGGCCCGGTTAGCTCTTTTTTTGCCGAAACAATGAGTATGAATTTCAGGTTAGTCTTTTATTTAGATAGCTACAAAGTACCAATACTAGTCTTGAGAGTTTTCAAGTGTTGGTGATTGTTCTTATCTGTAATCTAATTAAGGGTCTTTAATTTTACTTTTTATGCTGGCACATAAGTCCTTTGGTGCATGTTTTATGATTTGAACATTTGAGACCATATTTACTAATACATATCTTAATGCAGGGAGAATATATGGAAAAACTTGAGGAATATAAGAACAAAGAAATTGAGATAAGCTCCAACAAAGTCTACTTAGAGGTTGTATGTGGGCAAAAGAAAGGAAAAGTTTACGGTTTAGGGAGCGCTTCATAAATGTACTTCAAGAACGATTTGTGGATAACTACTGATCTTTAATATTTGGAGGCATATTTGTATATCGTCATTAGTTCTTATTTGAAGTAGCTTCCTTTATATGAGTGGTGATTTTGAAACAATTAGTCATGTGGTTTAGAATATTATTTTTTTATTATATTGATACAAATTGATGATATTATTTTTGATATTTTAATAAAATTGACATTTTGGTTATTTTAATTTACGCTTGGGAACCCTTTTCTTTTCTTTCGGTGACTGACATTGGTCATCACTAAATTATGGTCTCCAAATATTTATAGTCAATTACAAAAATTTAGCGACTGCAGATTTGTTTTAGAGACTGAATGGTTAGTTGCAAAATAATTGGTCTTAGTAGTCTCTAATCCGTCGCAAATTATTAGTCTTGCAGTCGCTAATCCGTCACAAAATATTGGTCTCCGTAGTCTTAAATTATTGGTCTTCATAGTTGCTAATCCGTCGCAAATATTTTACGACGGACAGTGATTTAGTTGCTAAAATTTTAAAGTTAGTCACTAAATTGTAGTCACAAAGTCGTTGCAAATCCGTCGCTAAATTTGCGACTATCCAAAAATAAGTCGCAAAAATGAATTTGCGACGAGGTCTTAAGCGACTAGCCAAAGTAGTTGCAAATCCGTCGCAAATTCATTTTTGCGACGAATTAGGTCGTCGCTAATTCGCCTTTTTCTTGTAGTGAGGTTTTCCCCAAAAGTAGTCCGTACTGAAACCATCAAAGCTCAGAGATTTGAGCAAGGCCTAACCTTGACCCTCCAAGGGAAGCTAGGGGGAGTGACTTTTGAGACCCTAGATGAAGTCTATGGCCGTGCATCCCATCTGTACGGAATTAAGGAGAGGGAGATGGAGCATTTGGGGGAGAAAAGGAAGAAACCGGACTCTTTTCACGGGGGTGAAAAGAGGCACATGCCCAATGGGAATTACCAAGGGAATTCTGGAGACAGGAGGGACAACAAGGGAAACTTTGGGAAGGGGAATGGAGGTCAGTCGTCCAACCATAAGGGGAATGGGAACCAAAGGGGTGAGAAACCCAAGAGGAGGTATTTCTGCAAGCGGTGTGAGAAAGATCACCCAGGGAAGGACTATGAGGGAAACCCAGTAACTTGTCGTTACTGTCAGAAGTTGGGACACCGTGAGTATGAGTGTTTCAAGAAGGAACCTGATGTTAAGTCTGGGAAGGTGAAAGAGTCTAGTGCACCTAGTAAATCACCTCGGTCTAGTGGACCTACAACCAAGCCTGGAACCAGTAGCGGTGCGGGAAGTGCCCCAAAGGGTCATGTGTTCGTGATGAATAGTCGTCAGGCTGAGTTTGCTAATGATGTGGTAATTGGTGTTTTCTTTATAAGTTCTTTTCCTATGAAAGTCTTGTTTGTTTTAGGGGCGTCGCATTCTTTTATTTCTAAGAAAGTAGTTGGGAGTCTCAGGTTAGAGAGTCCTAAGTCAGTTTCTCTAGGTGTGTCTATTCCGTCTGGGGAAGTGAGGAGTTGTTCGAGATTGTTTTTGAGTGTGCCTATTCCCATCTCTAGGGTAGAGTTTCTGGCCGATTTGATCGAGTTTGACTTTAATGACTTTGATGTGATTCTGGGTTTGGATTGGTTGGGAAAGTATGAAGCAAAAATTGATTGTGCGGCTAAAAAGGTCACATTGACTAGCCCAAGTAAGACCAAAGTGGTGTATAAGAAGGAAGGGAAAAGCTTAGGGTTGAGAATCGTGTCTGCAATGCAACTACAGAAGCTGGTTAAGAAGAGTTGTCCTTTGTTTTTGTGTAGTGTTTAAGAGGTTGAAAGTGAGGAAAAGAAAGGTGAAGAGGGTATTCCTGTTATAGAAGAGTTTCAAAATGTGTTTCCAGATGAGATTCCTAGTATGCCACCAGTAAGGGATGTTGAGTTCACTATCGACCTAGTGCCTGGAACTGGACCTATTTCTAAGGCTCCATATAGGATGGCTCCAGCTGAGTTGATGGAGTTGAAGACCCAGTTGGATGATTTGTTGGAGAAAGGTTATATTAGGCCTAGTTCATCACCCTAGGGAGCTCCAGTATTGTTTGTGAAGAAGAAAGATGGAAGTATGAGGTTGTGTATAGATTATCGAGAGTTGAATAAGGTGACAGTGAAGAATAAGTATCCATTACCAATGATCGATGATTTGTTTGACCAGTTGAAGGGAGCAGGGGTCTTCTCAAAGATAGATTTGAGATCGGGTTATCACCAGTTGAGAATTGCGGAGCAAGATATTGCAAAGAGTGCTTTCAGGACTCGTTATGGTCACTATGAGTTCACAGTGATGCCATTTGGTTTGACCAATGCACCTGCAGTGTTCATGGATTTGATGCATAGGATTTTTAGGCCATACTTGGACAAGTTTGTGGTGGTGTTTATTGATGATATTTTGGTCTATTTGAAGGATGAAGAAGAGCATAAGGAGCATTTGAGACAAGTGTTGTCATGTTTGAGGGAGCATCAGTTGTATGCCAAGTTGTCTAAGTGTGAGTTTTGGTTGGAGAAAGTAGCATTTTTGGGCCATGTGATTTCCAAGGACGGATTTTAAGTGGACCCAAGCAAGATTCGAGCTGTGAGTGATTAGCCAACCCCAAAGAATGTATCGAATGTAAGGAGTTTCTTGGGTTTAGCAGGCTATTACAGAAGGTTTGTGAAGGATTTTTCAAGGATTTCAAAGCCCATGACAAGTTTGATGAAAAAGGAGCATAAGTTTTTGTGGACTCCCGAGTGTTAGGAGGCATTTAAGATCTTGAAAGAAAGGTTAACCACAACACCTATGCTGGCTTTGCCGGATGGAAGTGATCTATATGACGTGTATAGTGATGCATCGAAGTTGGGATTGGGATGTGTGTTGATGCAAAATCGAAGAGTGATTGCCTATGCCTCGAGGTAGTTGAAGGTTCACGAAGGGAATTACCCAACCCACGATTTGGAGTTAGCTGCAATAGTGTTTGCCTTGAAGATTTGGAGACATTACTTGTATAGGGTGACTTGTAGGATTTTCACGGACCATAAGAGTTTGAAGTACATTTTCACCCAGACGCACTTGAATGGGAGGCAGAGACGATGGTTGGAGTATATGAGTGATTATACATTGGATATTCAGTATCATGAGGGAAAGGCTAATGTGGTGACAGATGCTTTAAGCAGAAAGTCAGAGCATACGGTGAATGTGATGGTAGTACCAGACCAGTTGTGTGTGGGATTTCAGAAGTTGAACTTGGAAGTAGTGGGGCATGGTGAGCTGGCTAGGATGTTGAATGCCCTGGTGGTTCAACCATCCATTTATGATGAGATAAGGGAAAGTCAATTGGAAGATGAGAAGTTAAAGACAATAAAGAAGAAGATTGATGAAGGAGAAGTGTTGGATTTCACCATTGGTGATGAGGGAAGTATTTGATTTAAGGGAAGATGGTGTGTACCGCAGAATCGTGGTGATCTGAAACGACGATTGATGGAAGAAGCCCATAATTCTCCTTATTCAATGCATCCTGGAGGGGATAAGTTGTATAAGGACATGAAGAAGACTTTTTGGTGGCCCAATATGAAGAGAGAAGTGGTTGAATTTGTGGCTAAGTGTTTGACATGTCAGAAGGTGAAGATTGAGCATCGTAGACCTCAAGGAAAGGTCCAATCCTTGGAGGTGCCCAAGTGGAAATGGGATTCAATTTCTATGGATTTTGTGGGAACCTTGCCAAAGACCAAGGCAGGGAATGACTATTTGGGTAATAGTGGACAGGTTGACGAAGTCAGCAGCATTCATACCCATGAGAAGTACTTGGACCATGGATCAGTTGGGAAGAGCATGTGTGAAGTTTTTGGTGAAGTACCATGGGGTACCCACGGATATTATTTCGGATAGAGATTCAAGATTTTTGTCTAACTTTTGGCAAAGTTTGCAAAAAGCGATGGGAACTAAGTTGTTAATGAGCACAACATTTCACCCAGTGACAGATGGTCAAATGGAAAGAACGATTCAGACATTGGAGGACATGTTGAGAGCTTGTGTGATGGAGTATCAAGGGTGTTGGGAAGACCACCTAGATTTAATAGAGTTCTTTTACAACAACAGTTACCATGCAAGCATTGGAATGGCACCGTTTGAAGCATTGTATGGTCGGAAGTGTAGAAGCCTAGTGTGTTGGAATGATATAAGTGAGACTATGGTTCTTGGACCAGAGATGATTGAGGATGTGGTGAAGCAGGTCAAGTTGATCCAAGAAAAGATTAAAGCAGCTCAAGATCGACAGAAAAGTTATGCTGATTGAAAAGGAGGGAATAGGAGTATGAAGTAGGAGAGAAAGTTTTGTTGAAAATTTCACCCATGAAAGGTGTGATGAGGTTCGGGAAGAAAGGGAAATTAAGCCCAAAGCACATAGGGCCTTATGAGATCATTCAGAAAGTGGGGAAAGTGGCTTATAAGTTGTATTTGCCTAACGAGCTTGAGAAGGTTCACAATGTGTTCCATGTGAGCCAAATCCGAAAGTATATTCCTGATGTGACACATGTGTTACAACCAGAAACCATTGAGATGGATGAGAATTTGACTTATGAGGAAAGACCAGTAAAGATTCTTGACTCTAAGGTTAGGAGAACAAGGAACAAGGATGTGAGCATTGTAAAAGTGTTGTGGTCAAATCAAAAAACTGAAGAGGCTACATGGGAAGCTGAGGCTGATATGAGGAAACGCTATCCAGAGTTGTTTGCCTAAGGTTAGTGGTCGAGTTACAGGGGCGTAACTCCTTTTAAGGGGGGTAGAGGGTGATAGAGTTTCGCGCGTCTGCTTTTTGAGTCATTTTTGAGTGATTTCGAGTCTTATTTGAGTCTTGAGTCAAGTTAGGATGTGCATGAACCAATAATTTCAAAATGATTTTCGTTTCTTTTGGCTAAGTTTCGGGTCGAAATTTATTTTAAGGGGGGTAGACTGTAACACCCCGTATTTTCATACGTATTTTCCTAATTAATTATTATTTTCTAAAAAGGGTATTTTAGTAATTCAACTTACTATTTAAATCTTGGAGCCAAAATGATATTTGAATTTTGGTGCCAAAAGTATTTTAAAAACAAATTATTATTGATAAGATTTATTATCCATTTATTTTATTTTAAGAACTGGATTATTTATATATTTCAGATATTTTAATTAAGGCAAAAGCTATATTTTATTATTATTTTAATAAGTCCGAAAATCCCATTTATTTAACTAATAAATTTCGGATTTTCCTATGTGAAAATATGATTTTATTAGTTAAATTATTTGGTGAATATTTGGTATTTTATTATTTAATAAATATTATTTACACAATTATTATAATTCTTTAAAACTAGCAAAATAATTTCCTAAATACTAAATAGGAGGGCCGAAAATATGAGCTTGAGAAAGCTCAAGAATTTCGGCCATCCCATGTAGATTTTGGGAAAAATATTTTGGTAATTTGTATTTTTAATTTTAAAATCTCCTATTTTCCTTAATTCTGATTCTCCACCTTTTTAGTATCCCATCATTATATTTTCTTGTCATTCATTCTTCTTAATTATTCCCCAAGTAATTCCAATTTCCTTAATATTTTTCATGACATACATACCTTCCATATTCAATTATACACAATCTCTTCAATATTAAAACTTTCCTTAAATCTTTACTCACTTCTCCAAGTAATCCCTTAAACCCTACTTACCATAATTCTTCCTACATTTTCTTACCATAAATCTTTCATGAGCTAGCCTATAAATACCCCTTCATACCTCTCACATTCTTCACACCGATTCTCTTCTTTTCTTCTCCTCAATTTTACACAAATTATCCCGTTTATCTTTGAATCCAATTTTCGGGCACTTCTGGTCAGTTTTAGGGTATTGACTTTTTCACGGAAAATTGTTCCTCTCGAAAAATCCTTGAGGTTAGGCTCAAAAATCACCCAATTCGGAGTTATAACAAAGGAGTTATAGCCTCTGCAAGTTCTGCCTCTTTTTTCCAACGCAAATCCTATTCTTCTTTTTCCTTGGTTTCTATTAAAACTTCTCATAATAATTTTATATTAATCTCCCATTATAATAATAATAATTTAATAAGAGAAAAGGAGAAGAAAGATAAGAAACCAAGGAGAAAAAAGAATTGGATTTGCGTTGGAAAAAGAAGGCAGAACTTGCAGAGGCTATAACTCCTTCGTTATAACTCCGAATTGGGTGATTCTTGAGTCTAATCTCAAGGATTTTTCGAGATTAACAATTTTCTGTGAAACGTCAATACTCCAAAACTGAACAGAAGTGCCCGAAAATTGACTTCAAAGATAAATGGGATAATTTGTGTAAAATTGAGAAGAAAAAAAGAGAATTGGTGTGAAGAATGTGAGAGGTATGGAGGGGTATTTATAGGCTAGATCATGCAAGATTTATGGAAGGAAAATGTAGGAAGAATTATGGTAAGTAGGGTTTAAGGGATTACTTGGAGAAGTGGGTAAAGATTTAAGGAAAGTTTTAATATTGAAGAGATTGTGTATAATTGAATATGGAAGGTATGTATGTCATGAAAAATATCAAGGAAATTGGAATTACTTGGGGAATAATTAAGAAGGATGAATGGCAAGAAAATATAATGATTAGATATTAAAAAGATGGAGAATTAGAATTAAGGAAAATAGGAGATTTTAATGAGATAATTAAAAATACAAACTACCAAAATATTTTTCCCAAAATCTACATGGGATGGCCAAAATTCTTGAGCTTTCCCAAGCTCATATTTTCGTCCCTCCTATTTAGTATTTAGGAAATTATTTTGCTATTTTAAGGAATTAAAATAATTGTGTAAATAATATTTATTAAATAATAAAATACCAAATATCCACCAAATAATTTAAATAATAAAATCAGATTTTCACATAGGAAAATCCGAAATTTATTAGTCAAATAAATGGGATTTTTGGACTTATTAAAATAATAATAAAATATAGCTTTTGCCTTAATTAAAATATCCGAAATATATAAATAATCTATTTTTTAAAATAAAATAAATGGATAATAAATCTTATCCAAAATAATAATTTGTTTTTAAAATACTTTTGGCACCAAAATTCAAATATCATTTTGGCTCCAAGATTTAAATAGTAAGTTGAATTACTAAAATACCCTTTTTAGAAAATAATAATTAATTAGGAAAATACGTGTGAAAATACGGGGTATTACGTGACATGTGTCATGCTTTACCTTAATAACCGGTCAACTTTTAATATAATAGGTTTTGACTCATTTTGAGAAAATATATTACAAAAGTTGAATTATTCTGAGTTAATTCAAAAGTTGGCTTATTTTGAGCTAACCAAGCAAAGGTTAACTTATTTTTGACAAATTTTCCTTTTTAATTCTAAAGCTTGTCAAATTTATATTTTTGTCATCCTATATGCATTGTAAACGTATAGTAGATATGCGCTGAGATGAACTTCGATAGGAAGAACTATAAATTTATAACCAATTTATTGGCAAAGACTACTAAATTTATCTCACATTTCCTATCACTTTCCAAGTCCAACTAGACCTTGTCAAAGTCGACCCAACCCAAAATTGCACGAGTTCAGGCAGAATTCTTCGGACTGAAATTAAAGTTGAACTGTGAATTTCAAGTGAAAAAAGGAGGGAGAATTGAAGGTTTTAGTGGCTAGGTGGCACTACACAACCGCTGACGATGGTAATTCACGACATGATTTCAAGATGAAGCTGCTATGGGTGGCATCAGGTTAGGAAGGGTGTAAGAGGTCAGGCGCATGAATAGGCTAGCTGAGGTAGTGATGTGTATTCAGGTAGGGGCAGGTGGGGTTGGTGATTTTGGTGGTGGTGGGGAGGAATGGGGGGGGGGGGGGGGGGGGGGGGGAGAAGAATAGAGGAGATAGAGTGTAATTGAAGGGGATAATGGGTAAAAATTAAAAGGGGTGATATTGAGTGAACACGTGATAGGTGCCTCGAGTAGACAATGCCAGAAAATAAGATCGAAACCATGAAATGGGCCTAAGGTATAATCTCGACATCTCACAAAAAAAAATTGGACTAAGGTGTGTTATTATTAAAAAAAAAAATTATAAGGTTGTTTTCCCCAAAAAAAAGTGTTGAGAAAAGTGATTTCTCACAAATTTTAGAAAATCATATATAACTAATATATAAAGCTAAACTGTTAGCCAGGTCACAAGGCAGCGACACTTGGCATTGTAACTTTTCGCCAAGTGTCGTGCCATGTTTTTTAAATACACTTCATAAGATAAAAAGTTAGTTTAAAATTATATTTGGATAGAATTTTAGGATAAAATTGTTAGTTTAGAGTTTTATTTTCGATAAAATAACAATATTTCAGATGTCCAAATTGAATTATAATTTTATTCAAAAAAAATATTAGATTATAATTCTCAAAAATTATCTAAAAAATTTATTTTTATATCATAATAATTTTTGGAGCGGAGGAAGTAGTTTAAAGTGTAAAACATCCATTTATAATATATGTTAATCGGTTAAAATAATATACTTCACAATCTAATAGAATTTTATTACTACGTAGACCTGTCAATTAGCTAGGGTCGGATCATGAGTCATCTCGGATTGGGTCACTTCAGGTTACGAGTCAAAAAATGTTCAACCTTTATCCAAATTTTAGGTTCGGGTCAACCCCAACGGGGTTTGAACATTTATATTATTTTATATAATTTTTTTTACTAATTTTTTTTTTTATTTTTTTAATGTATTAAATCAAATATGTTCACCAACATTATTATTAATCCTTGCATGCCTGTTAAATAGTAAATCGTACAAAAGCACATCAATTCCTCACTAATTTTGTAAATAATTTTGTATCAATGATATATATCTTAAAATTTGACATATAGATTAAAATTAAAATTTATTTTCAAATTCAATAAACAACCCGAGAATCGCACGGGATTCAAAACTAGGATCATATAACTAATATATAAAGCTAAACTTTTAGCCAAGTCACGAGGCAGTGACACTTGGCGTGCGAACTTTTCGTCACATGTCGCTCCACGTTGGATAGCTTTAAATAGACTTCATAAGATAAAAAAGTTAATTTAAACTTCTATTTGGATATAATTTTAGGATAAAATTGTTACTTTAGAGTTTTATTTTTGATAAAATACCAATATTTCAGATGTACAAATTGAATTATAATTTTATTCAAAAAAATTATTAGAATATAATTCACAAAAATTATCATATAAACTTATTTTTTATATCATAATATTTTTTTGGAGCAAAGGAAGTAGTTCAATGCGTAAAACGTCCATTTATAATAGGAAAAATGGAAATTAATAATCCCACCTTTGCCTATTCTGCTCAAAACAATCCCACCTTTTCGAAATCTGGAAACAAACCCACCTTTTACACCCATCTTCTTATAACAAGCCCTATTCATTTTTTTACCGGTTAATTTAATTAATCTTTTTTTTTTTTTTTCCGGTTTACTCTTATAATTTTATCAAATTACCGTTGAGATCAATTAATTCCCCATTAAATCCCCAACTGTACTACTTCTCTCCCTCTCTGCCATTTCCCTTAAATTCGCACCTCCTCCATTCAATTTTCTCACTCCTTTTCATTTATCTTTTGCTCTAAGTTATTTCTGTCTTCTGCAATGGCAAGTCACCACTCTCTTGGCTCAACATCAAGGTCTAGGTCGAGGTTATCTCCCTCCTCGTTTCAGATTTATTGCTACCACAATGAAATAGCTCCATTGAGGACGGTGAAGTACGATGGTCCGCACAAAGGGAAGCGATTTTTCGGGTGTTCTTATTGGCCGGTTTGGTTCTGTCCGTTAATTTTGTTTTTCAATTTAATAATTTATTTATTTTGAATTGTTATGGTAGATTAATAATTGATTGAATTTTTTAGGAACAGAGGACTTGCGGTTTCTTTAAATGGGTGGATGAGGTGGATGATGTTCGTGATTTGCAATGGATTGTTTGTGAATTGCTGACAAGGTGGACTCGCTGAAAGAAAAGATACGAAAGCTGAAGGGAAAAAACGAGAAATTGGAGGACGATGTTGCGGAAATGGGGATAGCCACCACTGAAACCTTGTATAAGATGAAGGAAAGCAACAGAGACAAGAATTTAATTATGTGTTTGGTGTTATCCTGGGCTTTTTTCACTTTAGTTTTAGTGTTTAAGGAATTTCTGTAGGAATGTGGTAGTGCGGATGGTAGGGGATGGTGATGGTTTTTTTTTTTGGTATGTCTTAGGTTGGTGGGTTAATGTTGTGGGGTGTATCTCCTTTTGGGTAAAATATGTGCATGTAAAGCTGATGATGGTGATGTTTATGGATGTAGTAGCCTGTAATAATGCAGCATTGTAGTACTTTTGTGGGGGTGATATTGTCTTAGATGAAAATAGTAGGGGCTGCATTATCTAACTTTATTTTGTGGAAATGCTTCAGTGAATGAAAAATGATGACTTTATGGAATATATGTTGTGTTATTTATGCTATTTGATATGTTGCCATATTATTCTGTGAAATGAGTTCAACAACACAAAAAGGAAAAACAAAGGAACACATGTATATAGCTTAATGGAGTACAACTCCTTTTCAATTATACATAATTTGGTTGAAATTGTCTGTCACTGAGACAAATAAAATGGTCTGTGATCTTAGTCACAACTAACATAATTTAGAGTAGTATAATACACAAAAGCCAAGACTACATTGAACTACACTAAATAAACCCACAGTCAGTGGTTGCCAAGATTTGCTGAAGTTGATCCCTAACTAAAGTTGAAAGAGTAAGTGCTTGTGAATGCACATACATCTTGAGGTGCAATGCTTCCTGGTGGCTGCATTAACAAAAAAACAAGTTATCTAAATGTTAGTCTCATAAACCTTGAAATGAGGACTGGTAATTCAAAAAAATATTAAATGACAAAAAAAAATTTGACACTTACATGTGTCATTGATGTTCCATCAGGTGTGACTAAAACACCAAACCCTTCATGTACAGCTGTTCTGCCACCCCTAGGTCCCCTGCCACCACCTCTAGATCCCCTGCCACCACCTCTTCCTCCCCTTACAGTATTTTGTCCAATCAAACCTACAGTTCCTTCCCCATTTCTTCCATGGCCTCTCCCTCTAGTAGATCCTCCCCTTGCTCCCCTACTAGCACCACCCTTGCTGACAACTCTACCCCCTTTCCCTAATCTTGAAGGTTCTGCAGTTGGTGTGTGATGAGTAGTGGACTGTGACTGTGGTTGTTGGTTTGTCACAGTGGCTTGTGACTGTGGTTCTTGGTTTGTCACAGTGACCTTCTTTGGCCTGCCCCTTGCTTTCTTGGCTGGTGGCTCTTGTGTTTGAACTGTATGAGGTGTAGGGTGAGGGCAACCCTTTTTGTTATGACCCTTTTCCTTGCATAAGCTGCAAGTCATTTCCATCCCATGTTTAGTTAGCCTTCCTGGTTTTTTTGGATCTTCAAATGGATCCTTCCTCCTGTTTTTTCTAGGTCTTCCTGGCCCTACTTTGATGGGTGGTAGATCAAGATCAAATTCAACTCTTGGCCAATGCCTTTCACCATCAATTGGTGGTATTGAGTTTGCATAAGCCTTAGTGTATGCTTCTGTCTTATATGATGGATGAACAAAGTCTTCAGCATTTTTGTGTGAAAAAAATATTGCAGCAACACCATGACAGCAAGGAACACCAGTCATGTCGCACTTTCTACAAGTGCACTCCCTTGATCTCAGATCTACTTTGACTGTGTCCAATCTGTAGTTCACTTGAAACACTGTAGAAGTGGATGGGATAACATCACATAGTGCAGCTTCTTCTTTTTCAAGCTGCAACTTCTTTGCTATTCTAGGACACACATCACTCTTCCATTTCATCATTTCATCTCTCTTTGTCACAAGCCTCTTCATCAGGGCTGCCCTAATGTCTTCCAACATGTATATCAAGTGTTTTGCCCTTGCATTGATGATATACCCATTAAATGTCTCTGCCATATTGCTTGTAATCACATCCACCTTCACCTCTTTTTCAGGAATGCTCTATAGAACAAAGATGGATTGTATGCTATAAGAGCATCAGCAGCAAGTGGGTCTGCTTTTCTTAACTTCTCCAATGCTTCATTGTAGTCTGCCACACTGTATGCCTTTGCACAGTTCCAGAACATGAGCTTGTATTCATCTCCCTTGAATTTCTTATGCCATAGTGCAAATATGTGCCTAGCACAGTGCCTATGTTCAGCCCTAGGGAGTACCTCTGACACTCCTCTTATAATGGACTATGCACAAGGAACAAAGCAATAAACAAATGTAAATAATGGCAACACAAACAACTAAGATCCAAAGGAAGAAAAAAAAACAACAAAATACACAAAAATAAAGAAAGGTATACCTGATGTTCATCTGAGACAATAAGACATCCAACACCATCAGCAAGCCTTAAGCTTTTTTGTAGATTTGTAAGAAACCACTCCCATGAACTATTGTTTTCACCTTCTATCACTGCCCATGCAATGGGGTACATCTGGTCATTGCCATCCCTCCCCACTGCAGACATCAGTTGGCCCCCAAGAAAGGTCTTTAAAAAGCATGCATCCACACATATTATCTTCTTACACCCTTGCAACCAACCTTGTCTTAGACCATCAAAGCAAATATACAGTCTTTTGAAAACTAATGACCCCTTGTTGTTATGCTTGTAAGCCACTAAATCCACATCAGTGTTTGGGGAATCCTTTTTCAGTGCTTCAAGGTATCTCCCCAACTTCCCATAATGATCCCTCATGGACCCATGGAGCTTCCTATGAGCATAATACTTCACCTTGTATGCAAAATCTTTCTTCACTATGACCCTGTATGCTCTCCTAACAGTTTCTATAATCTCCTTAGCAGGCCAATGAGGTCTAGCCTTAAAAACATCTAAAAGTTGATCAGCCAACCAAGTGGACTTAAGCTGAATGTTCTTCTCCATATTCCTAACACAAGTATGCTCATCCACCACTGTCTTCACCACAAATTCACCTCTCCTTGAATCCCAAGATGCATATAACCAAAATGGACACCCCTGACTACACTTCACCCCAATCCTCTGTTGTCTTCTTCTGTTTGCAGCCACAACACATAAATTTCTACCTTGGACTATAGCAAACTTTGCCACAGCTTGCTTAAAGTCTGCCCTAGAAGTAAATCTTTGTCCTACTACCCACTAAAACTTTGAATAATCTGTGTCCCTCCCAACTAGCAGCCCTCTTTTGGCTCTTCTTTCTTCCAAAGTCTCTTCTTCCTCACTTGGAGTGGGTGTGTGCATCTCTTCCTCTGAATCTTCATATTCAGAAACAACAATCCCATCCTCACTCACCTGTTGCCTCACACTTACCCCTTCTGCCCTTTGTGCATTAAGCAATCCCTCAGCTGCCTCTACTTTTAATTTATGTGCTAGCTCAATTACATTGGAGTTGAATCCCTTAACTAAATCCCTATCTTCTCTCTGTTCATCATCACTTGTATCTAGATCTAACACCTCAGGCTCCCTCAATTCATCTAAATCCTCTTCTAGGATTGGTTCACCTTCAGGTCCAAAGCTAGCTTCATACACTTGGTAGTCAGCTACCCAATCATCCTCCTCAGTTTCATATTCATTGTACTCTATGTCAGCAGCTAACACATAGTCTGGATCACTTTTCTCACCACTCAAATTATGCTTCTCGTATTCCTCATTGTCCCAATCATCCCCACTGAGGTCTGCATCATATAGTAAGGTGTCTAATGGGATGGGGCTATTAGGTTTGGGATCTTCCCAATCATAATCATCAGGAACCTTAGATCTGATTAAATTATCCTGAGGATATGAAGTCGTTGATGTAGCAAGAGGTGGTGTTTGTGTTTCAGCGGGGTTTTCTGGGATAAAAGGGGTTGAAGGGACCAGATTTACAAGATCAGGGACAGATTTCTTTGCTTTAGAGGATGGTTTTATGTTTTTCTTATCAGTGGGGACCACTATGGGGTTTGATTTTTTGGTGCTTTGTGACAGTTGCAACATGCTGTCTGACACCTCACCAGATTCCTTGTTCAACCTACTTGACCTTCTTGGAGTCATTTTACTAGGTCTGTGAGGATGACTTGGGCTGTTTATGGGCTGGGCAGATCCACTGGATCCAGTTTGTCAAAAAGTCTAGCTCCTTACCATTATGCACTACATATAAGTCAAGGCATCTACTACCCAAAACTAACTCACCCATTGTTCTCACTTCATTATCATCATACACACTCCTCAATCCAGATTCAAAATCAAGGCCAGGCATTAAATAATACACCTTTACATCATCATTGTAAGTACCACATTTATCAATTAACTCTTTCAAGTAGAACCAACATAACTCATCAGGGTCAACACAAAAAGTCCTACACAATCCTCCCAAATACTCCCAGAAGCCATTATTTCCTTTCTTAAATACACCACCATGGTAAAATTTCAGGCAAACACAATCCATAACAATCTGGAAAAAAAGGGGATTTTTTCGCAATTTAGGGTTCATCAACAAAATGGAACAATTCGCATATACAATTCATCAATTCATTCACTACAGTTCATCACATAATTAAATAAAACAACAATTAACTCAATCATACGAAATTACGCAAGTTAGGGTTCAGAATTTTACCTTAAATTCTTGTCTCGTCTCCTGCAAATCGCGCTTAAACCCCCAATTCTTATGTTGCTGCTTCGACCATTGAGAGAATCCAAGATTTGGTTTTTGATTTCCCTCGCAAAAATAATTAAATCGCAACAATTTTCGTTTTTTTTTTTTTAAATCCTCAGTTCGTGAAAATTAGTTGAAGAACAATAGGTTAGGAGAGAGAGATGGAGGGAAATGGAAAAGGTTAACCAGCAGAGTAGGTAACCAGTTAAAAGGCTTGTTATAAGAAGATGGGAGTAAAAGGTGGGTTTGTTTCCAGATTTCGAAAAGGTGGGATTGTTTTGAGCAGAATAGGCAAAGGTGGGATTATTAACTTCCATTTTTTATATCGGTTAAAATAATATACTTCACAATCTAATATAATTTTATGGCTATGTAATCTCTTCAATTAGGGTCGGGTTATGATTCATCTCGGGTTAGGTCATTTTAGGTTACGAGTCACGAAATGTTTAATCCTTGCCCAAAGTTTTGGGTTCGATCTGGATCAACCCAACGGGCTTTGAACTTTTATTTTATTTTATTTATTTTTGCTAATTTTTTTTTTATTATTTTGATGTATTAACTAGAACATTTTCCACCAATTCCTACTCGATAGTAAATCGTCACAACAACATTTCAATTCCTAACTAATTTTGTATGAATGATATATTTTAAAATTTGACATATAAATTAAAAATTTATCTTAAAATTCAATAAACAATCCGGGCATCGCACGGGCACAAAACTAGTATAACTATAAATTAAAGATAACAAAATAATAATTAAAAAAAATGAAAG